TGTGTGTGTGTGTGTGTGTGTGTGTGTGTGTGTGTGTAACAAATGGCCAGGAAACTCTTCCTAGAAACAATCTTGGTGTTGTATTTTAAAGGGTGTCAGGAGGACAAAGGGAACCCTATTCACGAAGGTGAGTGTGCTTTGGGGATGTAAAGAAATAGGACCAAGAGCCCTGAACCCAAGTTCTCAGGTCCCCTGGCTCAGGACTCAGAGCTGCAGCCTTGCAGACCCTGCTGTGCCCAGCGTGGTTTCTGAGATGCTGGCTACAGTGTCCGCCTCTCACTGCTCTGCCCACTCCTGTTTCCGGCCTCCAGTTCCTTCCCCTTTACAGACCACAGAGCCCTTTCAGAAGAAGCCACTTCTTATTTTAGCTGCATTCCCGGACCACCCCACCTACAGGTGCCCCTGCCCCCTGGGGTCCTCAAAAGATCTGGGTCATTCTTCCGGCTGAAGCCCAAAGCCTTAAGGCTGAGCAGCTGTCTCTGTCCCCAGGGCAGCCATCAGGACCCAGTTCTTAGCAGAATCAGGAAGTCTGGCCTTACAGCTGGGAGACCTGGGTTCAAGTCCAGCCCTGACAGCCATTGTGTGATCTGTCATAAATTCCTTCATCTTTCCAGGCCCTGTGTCCCTATCCATGCTGGGGGACCTGCCACTAGGAGAGCCTGGAATTGGGGGAGGTGTCTGCCACTGCCCCAATGTCCATGGCATCCCAGCTGCAGGCTGTTACGGAATATTATTGAAGATGTGGTGCATTTGTTTATCTGTGGAACATTTGTGTAATAGTGCAAAGATGTGTTACATTCTTTTATGTTGCACTTGTTTAACTCTGTGAAGCTGTGTTACTTTGCCTGTCCAAAACACCTGATTGGTTTAATAAAGAGCTGGGTGGCCAAAAGCTAGGCAAGAGAAAGGACAGGTGAGGCTGACAGGCATAGAGAATAAATAGGAGGAGAAATTTGGAAGAGAGGGAGGAGTGAGAAAGAGGGGGAGAGGAGGACGCTAGGAGACAGTCACCCAGCTACATAGCATGCCATGGAGGAAGACGTAAAGAAAGGTATACAGGAATAGAGAAAGATAAAAGCCCAGAGGCAAAATATAGATAAGATAATTGAAGTTAGAAGAGCTGGCTAGAAATAAGCCAAGCTAAGACTGGGCATTCATAAGAAAAAATAAGCCTCTGCGTGTTTATTTGGGAGCTGGGTGGTGGCCCCCCAAAGAGGAAAGAGGAAAAAGAGTAAAAACCAACTACAGCGTGTGGAGTCAGAGTCGCCGCTCTTTTAAAGACATTGCTTATTAATTTATTTTTGGTTTTCCAAGACAGGATTTCTCTGTCCTGGAACTCTCTCTCTCTTAGTGTGGACCACGCTGTCCTTGAACTCAGAGATCTGCCTGCCTCTGTCTCAGGAGTGCTGGCATAAAGGGGTGCGTCACCCCTGCCTGACATGAGTCTCCAACTTTTTGATGTTGGACAAGACAACGCTGTCATCTACAAAGTTCACAAGTGAGAACCATAAATCAAGTTTTACACACACACACACACACACACACATTTCCCCCATAATGTTTTAAATAAACTTACCACTCTGTTGGGTCTCATTCCTAGCTATCCTGAGGTGCATGTAGCCTGTGGGTTGAAGCCTTCTGGCACCTGAAGCTTACACTTAGAATGTCCAGCCTTGCTCTGGTTTTGGTGCTGGAGACTGGACCCATGCTTATACATGCCAAGCACATGCTCCGCTACTGAGCTCCAAAGCCTAGGCCATGCTGAGTCCATGTTTAGTCAGAGACCATATCCCCAAAAGAAAGTAGAGAGCAACTGAAGAAGACACCTGATGGCTCTGGCTCAGTTGCACGTGTGTACACACACACACAGGGACACACGGGCCTGTGCAATGTAAGATTCCTGAGGCTTGGACATGCCCAGCTAATGCACATAGATGCTCATGTATTCACGCCTGTCACACTCATGGATGTCTTCACAAATGCATGTATGTTTGGAAATCCACCAGCTTACACACACACACATACACACACACACACACACACGCTCACAGGCACTAACTAGTGTGTTTATTCCCAGAAACACACACACAGTACACTTGCTCATGTGAGCAGGCATTAACTAGTGTGTTTATTCCCAGAACCACACACACACACACACACACACACACACACACACACACACATACTTGCTCACATGAGCAGGCACTAACTACTGTGTTTATTCCCAGAAACACACACACACACGGTAGGTGCATTTTCAGTCACACAGGCCTCTCTACCCACGGGTGCACACTTGCACTGACATTCAGAAGGCCTCATATGAACACTGACACTACAAATACAAATTGGTGGCCTGTTTGAATTCTTTGCTTAAAGAAAACTTGTGACTGCATTAAAAATGTAGGGCACATTGGCCAAATAATTAAAGCGAGGAGTGTGGCAGTGGGACTTGCTGCCATTCTCTCGGGGACGCCCGAGCTGGGCTGTGCACAGCAAGGCTTTGTCCTATATATCTGAAGAAGAGGCATTTTATTACAGTAATTTATCACCCCCATAAACGCGGCTCCTCGGAAATGCAGAATAATTTGGGAAGAAATATGTTTTAAAAATTAAAAATGCAGCCGGTGTGCCCCTGTCAGGTCTGCAGGG